ACAGTGGGGAATTTAAAAGTCAGAACTCTTATCAGAAGCCAGGGTCCATGATTCAGAAAGATCTGGTGTTAAAATTCCTTCCCCACCTTACCATAAATGTTTAAAACCTTACCATAAAAGCTTAGAACCTAATCATGAATGTTTAGAATCTTACCATCAATGATTGAAGCCCACCAATGAAAACCTGTCCCACCAGCATTTCCACATGCCAGTCTGCTGTCCCTAACCTCTTAAAGATTGCTTCAAATCCTTAATTTTGGAAAGAGATCTGAGGGTACAGGCTCCCTGTCTCCCTGCATATCAATCTTGCAGAATAGAGTTGACTTCTCTTCCCAAAAGCGGATGCCATAATTAATTGACTTATTTATGCACATGGATAGAAGAACCCTATTTTTGTGTGGTAACACCACACCCAAAGTCTTATCTACTAATAACGATACATTTGTCTCTTGCATTGTCTCTTGTGACAAATGATACATTTGTCAATGCTTGTGTTTCCTTTTTCCATCTTGTACATTTATTTGAATTAGAATAATTTTAAATATTTATGGTTAATAGCAGCAATTCTTCATGTTTATTAATTGTCATTTCTAAATACTTCTATGTTCAATTGAGTGTTATCTCTCATTGAAAAATCCACGTTATTTATCATTTGAAAGATATATCCTTATTTTCCTGCTTTGAGAGACTGCATCCTCCCCTCACACAAGTAAACACTGCCATTTGAGAAATGGCTGTTAAAGATTATCAGCTACATTTTGATTCCTATTGTCCTTGCCAGCTTTTGTATTGGTATATTTCTGAAATAAATGAACATAAATAGATTGCCTAAAGTTGAAGCATATTTAATTTCCTAGGATAAGCCTTATTGACCCATGGTGTATTTTTCTTTAACATTCTAGTAAAGACAGTCTTAAAAATAAACAAACAAAAAACAAAATTATAGACACAGAGAATAGTCTGGTGTTTGCCTGAGTGGAGGAGGAATGGATGAAGGCGATAAAAAGATAAAGACTTCCAGTTATGAAATAAATAAGTCCTGGGATGTAAGGTACAGCATATGACTATACTTAATAATATTGTATTGTATGTTTGAAAGTTGCTAAGAGAGTAGATCTTAAAAGTTCTCATCACAAGAAAAATAATTTGTAACTCTGTTTGGCAATGGATGTTAACTAGATTTATTGTGGTCATCATTTCCCAGTATATACAAATATTGAATCATCATGTTGTACACCTAAAACTAATATAGTGTTATATGTTAATTGTATCTCAATTAAAAAGAAAGTGATCCAGGGGCTGGCCCAGTGATGCAGTGGTTAAGTGCACACGTTCTGCTTCAGTGGCCCGGGGTTCGCTGGTTCAGATCCCAGGTGTGGACATGGCACCACTTGGTAAGCCATGCTGTGGCAGGTATCCCACAGATAAAGTAGAGGAACATGGGCACGGATGTTAGCTCAGGGCCAGTCTTCCTCAGCAAATAGAGGAGGATTGGCAACAGTTAGCTCAGGGCTAATCTTCCTCAAAAAAACAGTAAAAAACAATTTAAAAAATTTTAAAAAAAAGAAAGTGATCCATATGTCACAAAGGATGGACTCTAGTAAATGCTTTGCTGCATTACCCAGATCCTCCTTTGGACTTAAGGGCTTGTTCTTCAGGTTCAGGGGAATGCAGCCATCTGACAGCCCTCACCCTTCAGCCCTCCTTGAGAATTATTCTCAGGTAAAAGAAGCTGCCTCACCCAAAGTCACACAACTCAGATCACTTGCTGTGGGAGCATAACTGACTGAAAGCCATTTGCATCCATCACTGTGTTTGCACTGAGGTTCCTCCCAGCCACTGGATTGAACACAGCAGGGTAACAGTGCATGCCCATTGTCATGGTCACACAATGACCTTGATGACCAGGGTCAACTACACCTACTAGGACAGTGAATCTTCTTCTTGGCATAAGAGACCTAAAATTCCAAGCAGCAGCATAGCTTGAAGTTTCACGGGACTTTTGCCATGTCTATGGAAGTATCATCCCTTTAGGATTCAAGATCTCTAAATATGCAGAGGCCGGAGCTGTGAAGAACTGAAGCATAAATATCCAAGTGACTCACTCGAAGAGAGATTGGATGAGGTTGCTTCCACTTCCAACCCTTGACGTATGGACCCATTTATTCTCTAAGCTGGAGATACAGCACATGATGATTGTCATTGATTTAGAGTGTATACTGCATTTTGTGAATTTTGTAGTCAGCACTTTCTGTGTATTCAAATGCCTGCACTAAATATAATCATTCTCTTTGAAATTAAATGTCTTCCTATATCTTCCATTATTTTTTTTTAACTCTTACATATTCGATACTCACTTTAGGCTGTATTTTACCTCTGTCCTCCCCTTCTCTGACAAACTTTATATATGATTTATATTTGCCACCTGTATTTCTTCAGTACTCATCCTTCAACACACTCTACTTGGATCATTTCTGCCCCGCCCTTCTGTTAGAGGTAATAAATGGAGCCCTCCCTAATATCAACAAAGGACTCCATGTCACCAGAAAATGTCAAGGGATATTTTTAAGTTCTCATTTGATTAGTCTTTTCAACAAAACCAAAACTATTAAGCACTCTGCTTTTCTTCAGAAAGGATCTCTTTGTCTTCAAGACATTGTGGACACCAAGTGATCCATAAAATCTCCAAGACTCTTCAAGAGTAGAACATCACAGAAAGTTGGTTCCTGGGTTTTGGTTCTTACAGAAATTAAACTTTCCCCATGGGACACTCTGTAATTTTCAAGTCAAATCAAAGAACGAAGAGTTTATCCTTTTGCTTTGCTGCTTGTACAGAGATAACATTGCCTGAAAATTACCCATGTTCTTATCTTTGTAACCCAAGGGAGCTGGATTGTTTGGAGAGAAGAGAGTCAAAAGAACAAATTATTTAATGAGAAGTTCTGAGAATTAAACCCTTGAGATGCTAGAAACTTTGAACATGCTCCTTACTTTTAATTCTCTAATCTCAGCCAAATGCAGACTCAATTGTGCATCCCATGTGCAGACCTCAGAGAACAGAAAGCTTCAGTGATAACCATCAAAGAGGATCATTGTGTCTTAGTGAGGGCTGGTGGAGTAAGAAGACAAAGAGGAGAGAAAATGGGTACTGGGGTTTACCTCAAGAATAAGAAGACTGGGACACTCATATTTATTTACTCGAAGAAAGGTGAAGTCTCTGTGCTTTGAAGGTACTTGATTTTCACTGAAGTGAAAGTCTTTTTCATCTCTGGTTCTGTTTCCTTCTCTCTCTTTTTGTAATGTAGAGCTGTCTCCAATGAGAGTTATTTTCTGGAGACTCTCCACTTCTTTTCTACTCTTTCCCACAATTGTAGACTCCCATTGGATTTCCTGTGTCAAATCATTTATTCAATAACTACTTACTGGAAATATATTATGTACCAGGTAGTACCTACTTTATTCTTCATGTGATAGGGTTTCTCTATTATACACCCTAACTATTTTTGCAGCCATGTCAACTCATTGATAGCACTTAGTAGTTTCTGTGTGGATTTTTGATATTGTTTCACTTTAGTATCATCCACAAATAATATAATTATTTCTGACGTTTGATAGTCAGCTGAATTTCCTTTTCTCATCTTTCCAGTCTCTTCAAATGTTCAGGAGACTATAGAGTGATTGAAGTTGGAGTGGACTGCTTTGTCTCAAGGAATTTAACACAAATATTTTAGTGTTGTAATGTATAATATCCTGTTGGCTTCAGTTTTAAATTTACCATTCTTCATTGAGTATAGAAATTCTCCTTCATTTCCTCATTTAGCAAGAGGTTCTGTTGTGATTGATAACCACAGTAATGGCTGTTACCTTTTCTCAAATGCATTTTCTCTTGTGATCATGGTTATGATTTCTCTTCATTGACCTATTTTTTGTGAAGAATTATGTTAACAAATATCACAGTATTAAATCAGTTTCCTATTCCTGGATTACACATTAATTATGCATGACGTATTATTCTCTGAAAGTAGGTATGAATGCTTTTTATTTAACTTTATTATTCTATTCTGTTTCTGCATTCAGGCATATGTGAGCTTAAAGATTTATTTTTTGCGTTACAGTTGACCCTTTGGGTCTCAGCCTTTATTATATATCTAATGTTTGCACGTGCTGAGCACCTACTATGGACCAGGCACCATGTAAGTCCCTGGAAAGACAATGGTGAGCAAAAACACTCATGCAGTCTGTCCCACAAATCAACAAAAAATTACCAGTGTGAGGGCACATCAAGAAATAGTACAGGATGCTGCACTTGTGAGCCTCACACACTCTATCCTTCCTGACCCTCACTCCATGTCACTGGCCCCTGAAATCTGTTCCATTTCCAAACTCACTGATCCACAGGGCAATCATGAATTCTGTTCCCTCAGCCCAAAATACTTGCCTTTTTAAAATTTCCCCTGGTTAACAATTACTCATCCTTCCTCTGATAGCTCAAAAATGTGTATTTTAAAGAGGTGTTTTCTACCAACCTCCCTAGACTAAATGTGTCTTCAATTATTTTTTTCTCAAATTAATTGCTATCTCTAGGCATTAATAACACATTTTTTCTATCATGGAGAATATAAACATTTATTGACATCTTAATTTCCCTTTGATTTTTTTAAAGGGTGATTTGATTCATAGTAACATTTTACACTTTCATCAAAACTATCATTCTTTTACCATTAACTGCACTGATTGTTAATACAACACATCCCCACTTTTGAGCAGGTACACATTAGCACACACTTTCAAACATATCTTGTATTTTATTTTAAATGTTTTCTGACTTTTTCCCTCCTCTTACCTATGTAGCTCACATGCTTTTCTATCCTCTTGGGAGAATTCACCTGGCACTCAATCTCTGAAAGAGGAAGTCATAGGAATCTTCATTTCTCAGAAGTGCTGATTGCTGATGAAATGAGGCACCAGACTTGTTTATAAAGATTAGAATTCCATCCTTGGTGGCTGCTCCAGTTTAAAGGAAATTAGTAAATGATAGCCATACAATACAGATTTATTGTGATGTTAAGAACATAAGCTGACATTTATTAAGTGCCCACTGTATTTCACAGAAATCGCAAGAAAAACTACTTGCATCATCTAATTTAATTCACTCATCAGTCTTAACAATGTAGGGCATATTTACTACTCCCATTGTAGAGGTGAGGGGTTGGCAGCTAAGAGAGATTAAATAACTTTGTCAAGGTCGCACAAATTATAAGTTGGTGAAGCTAAAGTCTATTCTAGGAAGTCTGACTCTATATCCCAGTTTCTAAATCACATCTCTGTACTGCACCTTGGGAGAGTTACATATCAAAACTAATTGTCATAAAAGGAGCAGATTAATAATGACAGTAACAGCTATCATTTATGGAGACCCTACTGTGTACAAAGTTATTTCTAAACCTCACAAAGAAGGTAATAGCAGTAGCCACATTTTTAGAAATAAACAAAACAAGGTCCTTGAGTTGTATGACATCAATAGGAAGTATCAAGTCATAGAATTAAGGTTTTTTGAGTTGAGAATCCACATCTTACTAACCATCATAGAGCTATTTGAAAGAAGTAAGCATGGAGATTATCAAAGATATTAAATATCTTAAATCATTTCAGAAGAGTCATATCAAAGAAAAATTGGTTTATATTCATAGTCTCAAATAGAATTAGAACCAGTGAGTAGATGATAAAAGAGATGTCTACTAAATTTTTGAAAGGCTGAATAATTACACTTAAAATAGAAATGAGCTACCACTTGACTGAATGAATCATCATCCTTGGAAACTCTCAACAGAGGTTGAAGTTTGTTCACCTAAAGGTGGAATCAAGAGGTGCTGACTACCTCAGGTGCCAGTTGGATGTTCACCAAACATTGCTTTTGCCTCCTTCTCCAGCAGACACACTAACTAAATGGAAGCAGGAAACCACACAGAAGTATCAGAATTCCTCCTTCTGGGTCTCTCAGAGGATCCTGAACTGCAGCCCCTCCTCTTCGGAGTGTTCCTGTCCATGTACTTGGTCACCGTGCTTGGGAACCTGCTCATCATTCTGGCCATCAGCTCTGACTCCCACCTCCACACCCCTATGTATTTCTTCATCTCCAACCTGTCATTTATAGACATCTGCTTCATTTCCACCACTATCCCAAAGATGCTAGTGAACATTCAGGTACAGAACAAAGATATTTCCTACATAGGATGTCTCACTCAGGTGTATTTTTTTATAATGTTTTCTGGAATGGATAATTTCCTTCTGACTGTGATGGCGTATGACCGGTTTGTAGCTATCTGCCATCCCCTTCATTACATGATCATCATGAACCCACGCCTTTGTGGCCTTCTGGTCCTGATGTCTTGGTTCATCATGTTCTGGGTCTCTTTGCTTCATATTCTACTGTTATGGCAGCTGACCTTCTGTTTAGGCACTGAAATTCCACATTTCTTCTGTGAACTGGCTCAGGTTCTCAAAGTGGCCTGCTCTGACACTTTCGTCAATAACATCTCTCTGTATGTGGCCACTGCCCTCCTTGGTGTGTTTCCTCTCACTGGGATCCTCTTTTCTTACTCTCAGATTGTCTCCTCCTTAATGAGGATGTCCTCTGCAGGAGGAAAATATAAAGCATTATCAACCTGTGGGTCTCATCTCTCTGCAGTCTTCTTGTTCTATGGGACAAGCCTGGGGGTCTACCTCGGTTCTACTGTGACCCATTCTCCCAAGAGAAGCTCAGTTGCCTCAGTGATGTACACTGTGGTCACTCCCATGCTGAACCCCTTCATCTACAGCCTAAGAAACAAGGATGTGAAGGGGTCCCTGGGAAGGCTCTTCAAGTGATCGCCTCTTGTCCATGATGGGCCACTGACCTCAGAACTAAGTGGTGGGCATTGTGGGCCCCAAATGCTAATATTGTGAATTAAATCTTCTGGTTCTTTTTATTACAGACAAGACATGCTTGATTTCTTCAATTTCCAAAATGCCCATGATTTCACTTTGTTTATATTAGTTTCTCCTCAACAAGATCCTCAGTAATCCCTCTTTGACTTTTCTTGTTTACACGCTGTCCTTAAAGTTCCATGTTTGATCAGCTTTCTTATAGCAAATCTTAAGATTTCTAACTTTATATTTAAAGCATTTTTCATGTCAAGTGCTGATATGGTTTCCACAAAAATTATCCTGTCAAACACTGATGTTATTTGCCTTCATTTGTTTGAGTGCTTGTTTTCTCCAGAAGAAATGGAATTAAAATCATACAGTCAGCACAACAAAATGCTTACCAATCAGAACTGTGCTTTTTTTCTTCATGTGTATGATTTTATTTCATCCTGAAAACAAATCTTTGTGGTATTTTCCCTCATTCACTCTACTTTTCAAAAGAGGAGATTGAGATTGAGTTGGATTCTAACCTAGCTAGCTGGCACTGACTTGCTGTCCTACATTTCATAAGAACGGTGACGTGATTTTCAACTTCAAAGTAGGAATGTATATTTGAAAACTAGTTTCTTCAGATTATTCATAGCAATATGCCACCTAGAATAACTCTGAGATGATGTTTCATTCTTTGTGATCCTTCCTTTCTTCCATTGTTCTTTCTTTTCTTCATTTCTTCCTTCCTTCCTTTCCTTTTTTCATTTGACCTTTATTTCCTATAATTTCAATTTAGAGATACACCCTCTAAGATCCTAAACATGTGGTCATGAATACAATAGAACATAGTTTTTGGGGGGTTTTTACATGGTTTACTTTTTTTTTTCTAAGACTCTCTGGAGGTGTCATCAGGAATCATAGTTAAACATTTGTGGAACATGTTCAGAACTTAGATCACCTTTTTAGAAGAATGCTGATAGAATTGACTCTACAGTGAAGGATGGAGTCGGTGATGATGTCTGCATTCTTCCCACATTCTCTGGGATCATCTCATCATCTCCATTGCATGAATGCATGGGCAGCACTAGCTGGAGCCTACTTTGCCCAATACATGGTGGCAGAAGTGATAGGGAATTACGCCCTATGAGAGAAATCCCTGAGCGAGAGGGGTGAGGTATACCTTCTCATTTATCCTTTAATTAGGATAATTCTGAGGTTTGGATTTTGTGCCATTTTCCAGAATTTCTTCATTGAATGAAAACTCTGCTCAATCACAGTGATAACTGACTTAATGCAAGCTTTATTGGATGTATTTTCTTCCCTGTATACATACTCCTCTCTCCCATCCATGTTCCTTTCTCTTTCCAATAAAGTGCTTGTACATGAATTCTTGGCTCAGCATCTGCTTCTGTGGGAAACAAAACTAACACAGGTGATAAGACTGAGACGTTTAAGACAATATCATCAAAGAACAAAGGACTTTGGTAGAAAAATGGAACTAATTATTGGGGACATAGTGAGTAAGGACTGCAAAATTGCTCAAAAATCGTAATTTGTTACAAGTGAAAGATGTATTTGATATGGCTTCAATTCACTTTGATTCCATTAAGTTTAATCCAGTGTGCATTTATTTTCTACTGTGTACAAATTGAGGATGAGGCCAGACAGTTGCAAATGATTGCAATACAGAAGGGTTAGAATGATAATGTTAGTGCATGGTAGGTCCTGTGGAAAGCAATGGTAAAACTTTTCAACTTACCTTGAGTAATTCCAGGAAAAACTCTTTAAACATTTATTTTTTAATATTTTTATTGAGGTGTAATGTACATACATGAAATTCAACCATGATAATGTAAATTCAATGATTTTAGTAAACATAGAATTACATGAATGTTACCACAATTGTTTTAGAATATAACTATCACCTCAAGAAGTACCCTTGTGTTCATTTGTAGTGAATTCCCACTCCCACTTCAGCTCTAGGAAACCACTCACCACTTTCTCTCTCTACAAATTTGCCTTTTCTAGATATTTTATATAAAGAGAATCAAACAGCGTATGGACTTTTCTATTGATCTCCTTCTACTTAACAATGTTTTTGAGGCTCGTCCATATGGAAATATGTATCAATGTTTTCTTCCTTTCAATTACAGAATTGTACTCTATTGTATGTATATACCACATTTTGCTAACCCAATTACCAGTTTATGGACATCCAGATATTTCCAGTTTGAGTTTATTTCGAATAATGCTGCCAGGAACACTCTGTGTTGACATGAATTTTCATTTCTCTTGGGTAGATACCTTGGAATGCAATTACTTTGTTATATGTTAATTTATGCTTAACTTTTTAGGAAAACTGCCAAACTATTTGCCAAAGGGACTGCACCATTTTACATTCCCATCCGTAATCCATCACATTTCCAATTTTTCTACATCTTTGCCAACACTTTTCATTCAGGAAAAACATCTAAAAAGACAATATGCTTGAGTGTTGAATAACAAAAAGTGAGTAGAAATTTAACTAGGGAGTAGGTTTGCAAGACATTCAAGAGTGAGGAATAACAGGAAGATATATGGAACTTATGGAATATTAGAAATAAGCTTGAGTATGTAGACGGAAGACAGACCATTGAGAGTCTATTTTGACATATGGAGAATTTTATAAACAATTGAGAACCAGAATCATGCTGGAATCATATTCATAAAATGAGGACTTCTTAGGTTTTTCCTGTGTGGGAGAAATGTGAGGCAGAGGGAATAGTTAGGAGGCTGTGGAAATAGTCCAGAGAAGAAATGATGGGGGTCTGACCTAAGCCAGTGGCAATGGGATGGGTAGATTTTGGAAGAAAGATGTATTACTTTCCAATTTCTACTGTAAAATATTGCCATAACTCTAGTGGCTAAAAATTACATGAATTTATTATATTACAATTCTGGAGGTCAGAAGTCTAAAACGTCTAAGAAGGGCTACTTTCCTTCTGGAGCCTGTATAAGACTATTTGCTTCCTTACCTTTTCCAAATTATAGAGGGTCCTTGCATTCATTGACTCATGACCCCTTCCCACATCTTCAAAGTCAACAGTATAGCATCTTCCTCTTTCTCTAGACCTCCTTTCTTCTTCTAAGGACACTTGTGATTACATTGAGATGACCCAAATAATTCTGGAAAATTTCCCATCTCAAGATCCTTAACTTAATCACATCTGCAAAGTGTTTTTTTCCATCCATAGTAACATAGTCACAGATTCTGGAAATTAGTACACGTACATCTTTGGTAGGCTATTATTTAATCTACTAGAAGAGATGTGTGTCAGTTAGAATTTTCAAACAATTGATCAGTAAGGCCCTGAACTGAGATTGAGAGTCTGTCATGGCATTCCTTATTGACTTTCACTGGGCATGGTCATCACATGGTCCTGGCTCATGTAAAGATAAGGCTGTACCAGACAGGTCTGCTTTGGTGGCAAGTGATAGAAGAGAATTTCCTGGTCCATCTGATGATAGCTGAGCAGAGGCTCAGCTGGACATTGGAAACAGGTGGCTTAAAAACTATGAAGGTGTCAAATCATAATATCAGCCTTATTTTCTCAGACTTGCTAGTCCCATATGGAAACAGACACAGAAGACAGCAGATCTCACAACTCACACCTGGTAGGTTCACTTCTAAAGAGGAACTTGTTTTGTTTCAGCATATAAAAAAAAAATCTCAGCAAAGTATTTTTATTGACAAAATCAAGTTCTCTTTCCACCTTGTGCCAATCAACTGTTGTCAGAAGACATTGTCACTGTCAGCCCCTTCAGAACCACATTTGTTTATTCAATTTATCAAACCTAATTTTACTGAGTGTTTACTATGCAGTAGTTATTATTTTAGGCTCAACCCTACAGGATAAGGAGGATCAAGAGTGTGGGGAAGGCAGGTTGTCATGTAATAAAGGACAATCTAAGCAAACTCATTGAGAATGTTGCATTTGCGAAGGCAGAAAATGACTTAGGTGTGTGCATATCTGGGGAAAGAGTGCCCCAAGAAGATGGTAAAGTTAATACAAAGACCCTGAGGTGAGAGTTGGCCTGGGGGGAATGTAGCTGGAGCAAAGAGAGTGAGAATAAGCACAATAGAAGAAAAGGACATGTATAAGGAGCTAGCAATGTGAGGCTTTCCCTGCTATTGAAGGATTTTTATTTCACTTACTCTGAGTGAAGTGGGAAGACTTCGTAGGGTTTGGAGCAGACACATGACATGATGAGAATTTTAAAAGATCATTCTGGCTGCTAAGTAGGGAATGGATTGTAGGGTGTGAGGAAGCCAGCTTGGAGCTGACTGCGGCAAGCCAGCTGAGATATAGGTAGCTAGGATCTTGGTGGGAAGTGTAGAGTAAGGGTTGGGAAGTGGTCAGTTTGGCTATATTTTGAAGGTAGAGCACAGAGGACTGGTTGCCAGCCAAAATACAGTGTAAGAGAGAGAGGAAATAAGCATGACTCCAAGGTTTGGAGCCTGAACAACTGAAAGAATGAAATCGCATCCATTGAAATAGGTAGGGCTGTGAGTGGAGCAAATTTGGGGATGTTGACCAATTATGAGGTAGACTCTGATAGATTTTAAACAAAAAGAAGTTTATTTGGGGTGTGTTAGGACCACAGCCCAGGAACACAGATTCAAATAGGACTTCAATGGTTTCCAGGCCATTGAAGAGAGAGGGAAGGTTTTATAGTAATAGCTAACAAAGGCAAAGAAAAAAAGAAAAAAGAATGTTTCCCAATAAATTACAGGCACAAAGTAGTCATGAGGCGAGAGTAGGTTGACATAATCCATTAAAATAAGAATGAGGTTACTGTCCCAACCATTTTACCTTCCCTGAGAACACGTTCAGATACATTTCAGGCCAATAACGAGTTCAAGAGTTCATCCTGAAGGAAGAATTTGTCCCTCTTCTCTTTATGTCCACCCAGCTCCATCTTAGCGCCTT